AAGTTCCAACAACTTTACACTTCCACTCAGATTAAATCTCCTCTGATCCAGAGGAGTCAAGTGCTCGCAAGAGTGTCATTATGCGCTTGCAGACTTCGAAAGTCAACTTCGAGGGATATTTCGTAGGCTGACAGCTGACAATCTGGAGAGGAGCACGGTGTCCAGAGGTTGTTGTTGCCTCTCGCCTTTCACGGCAGTCAGGTATGTTGACGCTGATTACTAAGACACATGTACAACACTTTATTTCCGGGACGTTTCGCCCACGCAGTAGGCTTCTTTAGTCGAATACTGAGGTAAGTAAAACTGGTGACAGAAACAGTGGAGAGGTGATGACGATGTGTACAGTTCATCAGCCCCGACATCATTTTAAGGTGGTCAGTCCCACAGCCTTGACGTCGTTTTAAGGTGTTCATCCCCTCAGCCTCGAGGAATGAACCGGTGTTACGTCTTCCTTGGCTGCCTCAACTCTGCAACCCGGCTCCCAGGAGCTGTATAACCCGTTATTATAACTTTAATTTTTAAAGGGGTAGACGGATAAGCCAGTGGAAGGCCTCGGTCAGACAACCAAAAGCTCCAGTGGCGGGTCATCATATGACATGATTCCTGCCAGGTTTGAAACCTGCCGACTATGCTAGGGTCACTAAGGCTGCAGGTGACCTGTCCTCTACCAATCAAGAATACAATAATTCCCAAAATTGCTATTAAAATAATCTATTAGTGTATATACACAGATATACATCTCTGTGTATATACATCACCAAGAGGGATATTCACTAGTGTTTTAGGAAACAAAAACAGAAGGAAGAAACTACGGCTCTAATCATACATAATCTAAGAGATTTATACCTTGGTATAAATTTCTGAAACTACCCAGCATACATGAACGTAGACTAGACTTATTGAAATACACTTTTATACACGTGTCCGGATGCATTTTCTCAATGTGGGAGAGTTTTTTTAAATATATATTAAAGTGCAGATTATACACTCCTGAATTATAGATTTAATTTTTAATCGGCATTTTATTTGTAAAACCACCTGCCTCAGCCTTCTTTAATCTCGTGGTATTGGGTTGAATATATATATATATATATATATATATATATATATATATATATATATATATATATATATTATATATATATATATATATATATATATATATATATATATATATATATATATATATATATATATATATATATATATATATATATATATATATATATGTATATATATATATATATACATATATATATATATATATATATATATATATATATATATATATATATATATATATATATATATATATAGATAGATCGATAGATAGATAGATAGATAGATAGATAGGTAGATAAATATATAGATAGATAAATAAACAGATAGATAGATAGACAGATATAACATACATTAGCATAAAACATGTAGATATATGCAGATAAATCAACATTAATGAGACAAATCTTATGGAGACGACTCGGTCCATTCAGGAACATTGTCCAGTCACAACTTAACAATGAACTTGCACTTGACAACAGTGCTCCAGGGAGGACCGAAACATTGCAACAAGATTCCTCTCCGAATTCAAGATTTCTGATGAACTGTTCCAGCCACGGCAATGTGACCTTTTTTATTCTTCATCAGCTGGAACAACATACCAAAATGTATATTTATCAATTGGTTGGCAAAGAATTCTTATCAATTTAGTCTTGAGAATAAGTGTGGTTTTGTAAGTGGTCCAAGTCGGACCGAAACGTCGTCGTAAGCTCCTCTCTTCTGTGTATAATCTTGAGTATAGTGGTTTGACTGCTGCTGTGTCCTCGTGGAGGAATTATTACTATTTAAGACACTAATATATATCGCTTCGTGTAGGACAAGGCTTAACCTTCAGCGTTGATGAGTCTCCCTCACGACGATAGTAACAAGAAAAATGCATTATCTAAGCTGTGGATTGTTAGATCGGACTTCTGTAATACAAGTCTATTGAACCAAGAATGAATTGACAACACTTGAAGCTGTAAATCATGAAATATGTAACCCGATGGCCATAACTTCGAGCAGAAAAAATCGTCGAGTGTGTTGGAAGAGAGAGTCGGCTTGATAGTGTAATTTAGAAGACCTTGCTATTTTCGCAAGCAGGAGAGAGACCTCCAGACAGCCAGCTATCTCAACCCTAGCAGAGACTCGGCGAACACACATCTCATCGCCTCCAGATCCAGCGGAGGACTGACCATACTGAAGTCTAAACGACAATCTTTCTATCTTGCCTTCCCTCAGAGCGGCGGTAGTTAACCTACACAGTAGTTTCCTATCGTAACGCTGATCCAACGTTCCTACACATTGTACGTTTATGTCAAGCCATCGTAAATAAAATACAGAGCATTTTTTAACCCAGGGTAACACGAATAAACATCAGATAATACAGTATATACAAACTACGGTACCTGTCTATTGGCTGATATCATCCTGCCACGAATGATAAATATAAATAATCAGTGATAATAGAATATGCACAAGAGAATGATATAGAATGTGGAGGAATTGTGAAATTGAATAGAGATTGCCCTATAGCTCATACACACACACACACACACACACACACACACACACACACACACACACACACACACACACACACACACACACACACACACACACGCACACGCACACGCACACACACACACAAGAAGGCGTTTGACACAGTTCCACACAAGAGATTGGTGCAAAAACTGGAGGACCAAGCAGGGATAACAGGGAAAGCACTACAATGGATCAGGGAATACTTGTCAGGAAGACAGCAGCGAGTCATGGTACGTGGCGAGGTGTCAGAGTGGGCACCTGTGACCAGCGGGGTCCCACAGGGGTCAGTCCTAGGACCAGTGCTGTTTCTGGTATTTGTGAACGACATGACGGAAGGAATAGACTCTGAGGTGTCCCTGTTTGCAGATGACGTGAAGTTGATGAGAAGAATTCACTCGATCGAAGACCAGGCAGAACTACAAAGGGATCTGGACAGGCTGCAGACCTGGTCCAGCAATTGGCTCCTGGAGTTCAATCCCACCAAGTGCAAAGTCATGAAGATTGGGGAAAGGGCAAAGAAGGCCGCAGACGGAGTACAGTCTAGGGGGTCAGAGACTACAAACCTCACTCAAGGAAAAAGATCTTGGGGTGAGTATAACACCAGGCACATCTCCTGAAGCGCACATCAACCAAATAACTGCTGCAGCATATGGGCGCCTAGCAAACCTCAGAACAGCATTCCGACATCTTAATAAGGAATCATTCAGGACCCTGTACACCGTGTATGTTAGGCCCATATTGGAGTATGCGGCACCAGTTTGGAACCCACACCTAGCCAAGCACGTGAAGAAACTAGAGAAAGTGCAAAGGTTTGCAACAAGACTAGTCCCAGAGCTAAGAGGTATGTCCTACGAGGAGAGGTTAAGGGAAATCAACCTGACGACACTGGAGGACAGGAGAGATAGGGGGGACATGATAACGACATACAAAATACTGAGAGGAATTGACAAGGTGGACAAAGACAGGATGTTCCAGAGATTGGACACAGTAACAAGGGGACACAGTTGGAAGTTGAAGACACAGATGAATCACAGGGATGTTAGGAAGTATTTCTTCAGCCACAGAGTAGTCAGTAAGTGGAATAGTTTGGGAAGCGATGTAGTGGAGGCAGGATCCATACATAGCTTTAAGCAGAGGTATGATAAAGCTCACGGTTCAGAGAGAGTGACCTAGTAGCGATCAGTGAAGAGGCGGGGCCAGGAGCTCGGACTCGACCCCTGCAACCTCAACTAGGTGAGTACAACTAGGTGAGTACACACACACATGCACACACACACACACACATGCACACACACCCACACACATGCACACACACACACACACATGCACACACACACACACACATGCACACACACACACACATGCACACACACACACACACACACGCACACGCACACGCACACACACACACACACACACACATGCACACACACAGCTACAAATAGGTCATCATACATTAAATCTTTTACCCTTCGAAGGCTTCACCATCACCTCATCTTCCATGATTCCTTGCGATTTGCACTTCCCTGTTATTACCGCCGTCATTATCCACTAATCTTCTTAACTACAGGGGGCTATCAACCTGTTAATTACCTTGCCCCGTTCCCTGCAACTTTTATGCCCGAATCTTGTCTTGTTCCACTCAACCTCGATTCCCTCCTCTCCAAAATTACTTTTAAAACATTAACAGTTTACGAAAACTAGTTTGTAATTCGGCTTGTTTACAATTCCTTTTTGGTATCTGTCGTGGGTGTCAAATAGCCTCCTATAAGTGTCAGACCAACTGTCATAGCTGTCAGATCGCCTGTCGTATGTGTCAAATCACCATCTGTCAGTGTCAGGTCATGTGCATACACAATCCTCTTCTGGATATCTGGTCATGTTGAACGAGAGGGGACCCAGCGCCCTCACGTGCCTTGCAGAGACACACCTATTGTAAATTCCTACTTCTTGTATCACTGCAGATAACTGTAAGCATCGCATCTGTCACCCTTCTTTGCGCGTCTGCCTCCTTCTAGCGTCCCTTCCACCTCTCCCAGCCTCATCAATCTTCGTGTACACCATTTTTTAATTCCATCACCCTCGTGTCTACCTCTACCAGCTTCCACCATCCTCATCTCTACTGCCAGCCTCCGGCATTCTCAATTCAACCTCTGGCAGCCTCCAGCTGCCTTAACTTTACGACTGCCAGCCTCCATCCTCCTCCTCTGCCAGCCTCCAGCCTCCCCATCTCTACACCTACCAGCCTCCATCATCCTCTGCCAGCTTTCAGCATCCTCAGCTCCACCTCTTCCTACCTCCGTATCCTCATCTCCACCCCTACCAACCTCCAGCTTCCTGATCTGCACCTCTGCCAACCTCCAGCATCCTAATCTCCACTTCTGCCAACCTCCATCATCATCTCCACCTCTGCCAACCTCCAGCATCCTCATCTCCACCTCTGCCAACCTCCAGCATCCTCAGCTCCACCTCTGCCAACCTCCAGCATCCACATCTCAACCTTTGCCAATCTCCATCATCCTCATCTCCACCTCTGCCAACCTCCAGCATCGACCTCATCACCATAAGTGCCAGTTCTCGTGACACAGTGTCACACGCCTAGTGCACCTCCACCAATCTTTACATTTTTTCCGAATTCCTTTCACCTCCTCAAGTTGCCGTAGTGTACCACACCACCTTTGGTGCACCGTACCACATCACCTTTGGTGCACCGTACCACATCACCTTTGGTGCACCGTACCACATCACCTTTGGTGCACCGTACCACACCACCTTTGGTGCACCGTACCACATCACCTTTGGTGCACCGTACCACACCACCTTTGGTGCACAATATCACACCAACTTTGGTGCACAGTACCGAACCACCTTTCGTGCGCAGAACCACATCACATCTGGTGCACAGAACCACATCACCCTTCATCTTTTTTTGACCATACAGAGAGGTGCCTCTTCGCCTGATACTGGGAACTGGAGCTGCCTTCAACCTCCTTGGATCAAACTGACGAAAGGAATGATTACGCAAAATCAACTAAACTAAAAAAAAATACATATTAAAACACGATTATCATTAATCTCGTTAATAAAAATGTCCGCTAACATGAGTCTCGTTAGCCATCAATCAACTACGAGAACTTTGGTAAATGCTCGTTGAATATAGAGGACTTTAATGAAAACATTTAATTATTCGTCAATAGGAACACAAGAAAGGAGGAACACTGCAGTAGGCCTACTGGCCCCTACTAGGCAAGTCATTCTCAAACACAAACCCACGGACAAAAATATTTGCCCGAACCATTTTTAATGCTACGTAAGGTCGTTTACTTGATACTCTTTAAAAGAATCGTTAGTGGTTAATGATGAAGGTAACTGATGGTCAGAGGGAAAGAGGAGATGAATCTCTCTCCACCAGGGAAGAGAGAGAGAGAGAGAGGCGACTTCACAACCCGGAAGCTAAAACGAATAAAATTACCTGGAAATATGGATGACGAAGAGTTGAAAGGGGAAATGGTGGCCGGCGATGAAAGGGGCTGCTGCTTATCAAAAGGAAGAGGAAGAGGAGGGAGGAAGAGATGCAGGGAAGAAAGAAAGGGAGAGAGATGGGTGTTGCAACACAATGGTGACACGAGTCGTTATTTCTCTCTCTCTCTCTCTCTCTCTCTCTCTCTCTCTCTCTCTCTCTCTCTCTCTCTCTCTCTCTCTCTCTCTCTCTCTCTCTCTCTCTCTCTCTCTCTCGCTCTCTCTCTCTCTCTCTCTCTCTCACCCTTTCATCCTGGGACGAATGGAGCGTCACAGAATTTTTCACCAAAATTTCGCCACATAATTAACTCTCTGAATGCTTTTGTCTGATTATTCCCCCTCCCCTCCCCCTCCCTTCTCTTCCCCCTCATTTTCCCCCTCCTCTTCCCCCTCCCCTTATCCGCAATCTCCCCCCCCCCGTCGGTAAAACTTTCGCTCCCACATTTTTCCATCTCTCTTCTCTCTTCTTGGCTTCAGATCTAATGTCTTGTGGAGTAGGCTGGTATCTCTCCCTTGCAGCAGCACCAGCTATCCTCCCTACCCTCCCTCACCTCCCTAGCACCTCCCTCCATGCTATCTTCGTTTCCTAACACCTCCCCACCCTCCTTTACCTTCCTGAAGCCTCCAGGCCCCACCTCAGCGACCGTGGGGGATTCCACTCAATCGTTGTCATAGCAACATCTAATTGCAAAACAAAACTCATGCTGATTACACATACTGTTTTATTAGCTCACCTCCCATTTTTCTTCCATTCCTTCTCACTTATCCCTATTTTCTCTCTGCTCCCTTCTGCTTGGGGATGCAAGACACATTTCGGTCGGATTTGGACCACTTACAAACTCACATTGGTCCAAGTCAGACCGAAACGTCGTCGTAAGCTTCTCTCTCTCTCTCCTATGTGCGGGTTATTTGTGTATTGTTCCAGTCACGGTATTGTCTTTTTGTTCTTCATCTCAAGTAATCTGGAAGAATCTATAGTGACACTGGAAGTGTGGGTGCTGGAACTCAAGACTGAAGCGTATCCTGTGTAAATATTCCAGTGTAAACACTGGATTTCTTCCATCCACAGGAACCTGATTGATTGGTCATTATCACGTAAAAAGATAAGACAGGAAGATCATTGCAGCAGGCCGCGGGGGCGTTGACCCCCAAAACCCTCTCTAGGTATACTTCAGATTACTCCAGGCCTACTGGCCCACACAAGGCAAGTCCTTCCCAAACCCAAATCCACTAACAAAATTATATTTGCCCAACTTTTTCAGTGATACCCAAGGAATAAGCTTTGACAACTCTATTATCTCGAGTGCAAGTCACACTCAACTCGAACTTTTCAACTCTGCCAAGAAGAGCTTTGGAGAGGTCGAGGGTCAGTGATGATCAAGCTTATGGCTTTCTTCTGCAAACGGGAGGTCAAGTGTCAGAGGTCAAATCGTGATCGAAGACTATTGGGTTTACCTTACTGTCTCAGTATGAGAGACAAAGTATTCCTGTCTATCTCTTCACCAGACATAGAACCTTCGCTTCTGCCTAAGAGAAAGACGGATCCTGTCCACTTTCCTTCGAAAGACAGAGGATTCTAACCAAGCCTTTGCAAGAAACAGAGATTTCTGTTCATCTTACGAAAGACAGGAACCTGTCTATTTCGTTACCATGCACAGAATACAGCAAAAAGTATGAAGAATATATAGATTGAATATATATGGAAATATTTTAAAGACATGAGTGATATACGTAAGAAGGAAGTTTATAAGGATGTTGGTATCCAGCTCTTGGTGTGTGCTCTTGTGATGTGAGCCAGACTCCTCTCTAGTAATCTCTTAATATGAAGAGAGTGATCTTTACCTGGCTGGACTCTCTCTCTCTCTCTCTCTCTCTCTCTCTCTCTCTCTCATCTATCTACTCTTCTCTACTCTTCCTATCCTCTTCACCTCTCATCTATCTATCTATCATCTTATTCACTATCAATCTATCTGTGCACTTATCTATTTGTCTGTCTGTTCACCTATCTATTCATCTATCTCAACATCTCATTTTTTCTTAATTTTTTAAATTCTCTTGCAATTTCTTTCATTTTTCTTCGCTCTGTTTCTTGTATTATTATTATTATTATTATTATTATTGATTACCACGTGACGATTTATTGCTCTGTGAGGACGATTTATTACCAAGTGTTGACGATTTATTGCTACGCCAGGATGAATTATACAATGTGGCTACAGCTGCTGTCTTTATAATCTCGTAGTCCCTTCCTTGATACCCCCTACCCCCTCAGGGGAGGCTCATAGATACTGGTGAGGGATCTTGATCCAAGGAATTGGACCTGTGCTCCAGTCCCTCGAATCGAGAGTCTGAATATTTTTCATTCCTTTACCCCCCTATCCCCTAGCCGCTGTATAACCCCTGCAGGTTTTGAGCTCACCCGTGAATGTAATAATAATAATATAATAATAATAATAATAATAATAATAATAATAATAATAAATTAATAATAATAATAATAATAATAATAATAATAATAATAATAATAATAATAATAATGAAAATAATAATAATAATAATAATAATAATAATAATAATAAATAATAATAATAATATATAGTAATAATAATAATAATAATAATAATAATAATAATAATGAAAATAATAATAATAATAATAATAATAATAATAATGAAAATTAATAATAATATATAATAATTAATAATAATAATAATAATAATAATAATGAAAAAATAATAATAATAATAATAATAATAATAATAATAATAATAATAATAATAATAATAATAATAATAAATAATAATAATAATGATAATAATAATAATAATAATAATAATAATAATAATAATAATAATAGTAATAATAATGAAAATAATAATAATAATAATAATAATAATAATAATAATAATAATAATAATAATTTTGGGAAGAGAATTTCAAAGTATTTGCTACCATCAAAGTGCACACAGTGTTCGTTCTGGTGGTTTTTTTGTCTCTCTTCACAGCTACAAGTTACAAAACGGGAATTACATGTTACAGGAGGTGTTGCGCGGGGCTGGAGCAAGTTAGGTTAGGTTAGGTTAGGTTAGCTTAGGTTAGATTAGGTTAGATTAGGTTAGCTTAGGTTAGGTTAGGTTAGGTTAGGTCAGGTTAGGTTAGATCAGGTTAGGTTAGGTCAGGTTAGGTTAAGCAGGTTAGGTTAGGTCAGGTTAGGTTAGATCAGGTTAGGTTAGGTTAGGTTAGGTTAGGTCAGGTTAGGTTAGGTTAGGTTAGGTCAGGTTAGGTTAGGTCAGGTTAGGTTAGGTTAGGTTAGGTTAGGTTAGGTCAGTTGGTTAGGTTAGGTTAGGTCAGGTTAGGTGTTAGGTTAGGTTAGGTCAGGTTAGGTTTAGGTTAGGTTAGGTTAGGTTAGGTTAGGTTAGGTTAGGTAAGGTCAGGTTAGGTGTAGGTAGGTTAGGTTAGGTTAGGTTAGGTTAGGTTAGGTTAGGTTAGGTTAGGTTAGGTTAGGTTAGGTTAGGTTAGGTTAGGTTAGGTAAGGTCAGGTTAGGTTAGGTTAAGCTGGTTGGGTTATTTAACCTTGAACGAGACATCAGGGTAAGGAACACCGTCGTTGTTTCACACTGTAGCTATGGTAACGTCTTTCTGTGACACACTGTAGTTATGGTAACGTCTTTCTGTGACACACTGTAGTTATGGTAACGTCTTTCTGTGACACACTGTAGTTATGGTAACGTCTTTCTGTGACACACTGTATCTATGGTAACGTCTTTCTGTGACACACTGTAGCAATGGTAACGTCTTTCTGTGACACACTCTATCTATGGTAACGTCTTTCTGTGACACACTGTAGCTATGGTAACGTCTTTCTGTGACACACTGTAGCGCTGAAAGCCACAGGTTCTCCTATTACAACAGATTGATAGAAATTACCGTCATTCATTATTATCAACATTATCATCATTAACGAAAGTCACTATCAATTATCATCATTATCACCAAAAGCTACTATCAGCTATCATTATTATCATTGTCGTCATCATTATCGTCATCATCTTTATTATCGTCATTATCATTACTAAGAGTTACTAAATTATCATCTCCGTTATTATCCCATTATCCATCTAAATCATACACATCAAAATCCCATTATCCATCTGAACCATACACATCAAAATCCCATTAACCATCTAAACCATAGACATCAAATTCCTATTATCCTACAAATCCAGCCACATCAAAATCCCATTATCCAACTCAACCAGCCACATCAAAATCCGATTATCCATCTAAACCAGACACATCAA